TGACTCTACAAGTGGCGCCCGAACTAAAAAGGGTTGTGGATGATGATTCTCCGCACCCAGGATTTGGCGACTAGGTCCCCTAAAACCCTAGTCGCTCTTTAAAAAGGGAGTATATAAGGTATTTCTCCTACTTCCCTAGTGTGCCTTCGTGGTGTAACGGTAGCACGCTGGGCCGGTATTCCAAGAGGTCCGTGGTTCGATTACCGGTGAAGGCGGGTTGCTAATTTCTCATCACTCCTGGCTTCCCAAAAAATACCTAATGTCTCTACAAGTGGCGCTCGAACTAAAAAGGATTGTGGATGATAATTCTCCGCACCCAGGATTTGGCGACTAGATCCCCTAAAACCCTAGTCACCCTTTAAAACGAGGAGTATCTAAGGTATTTCTTCCTACTTCCTTAGCGTGCCTTCGTGATGTAGTAACGGTCAGCACATTGGAGCCGGTATTTCCAGAGGTCCGTGGTTCGATTACCGGCGAAGGCAGGTTGCTATTTTTCATCTTTCCTGGCTTCCAAAAAATCCTAATGACCTCTACAATGTCACCACAAATATTTTCTTGATTCAATGCTTCCAGATTGCAAACATACTTACCATCAAGATAACGTAAATAAATGTTTTAAAATTTACTTTTTGATGCTTCTGTTACCGCAAAAAGTGCCAGTGCTGTATACAGAGAGAGCTGTACAGTGTCTTAATTAAAAATTGGAGACTTTAAATTTTTAATAATTAAAAATTGGAGACTTTAAAATATTTGATTTCTAAGATCCTTTGTCAATCAGCACATGAATGTAACCTTCTGTTAACTTTAAAACCCGTTAACTTTACAAAGACTGTCTGATGAAGAAAAGAAACCCCAGGAATAGGAAATGAATATGAATGCAGTATATCAATATACTGTACGTTTTTTCTTACTTGGGTGACATGTTTTTTACAATCTGGGTTACTTTTCTCATTATTACTATTCATGCTATATTGTTTTGGACATTTTACCATAAAATGCCTCTTTGAACATAGTATATATTTCATTGAAACCTTACAGCTCTTAGCATTATGTCCCGATTTCAGGCAACAAAACATCTTTTATCGAATGTAATTTTCTTCTTTTGTGTAAATGACATATTTTTAGTTTTAAAACATTCATCTGTTAGGATTACTATTACAAAGTAATTATGCATTACTCAAATTATTTTCGATAAATAAATCAGCAGCATTACTAACTTATTTATTTCCTAATTCACCTTCTGATTTTGCTTAAAAGATTTATTCTAAAATTTAAATGCTCCGACTGCCTTTGAAACTCGCTGCTCAGTTTCGACATCATTTCGAATAAATTTCACTAAACAATCGAGATGATCTTTTGGTTTTCCACCTATAGAAATTCGCTACCAGACTCTTAATTCCTCTGAAACACAAAATTCGACTAACGGTAACAAAATAGCATTATATGTTTCTTTCGCTGCATCTGACGACTTAAACGTCCTCAAATAAGATTCTAATTTGTCGTATGAAGCTGAAAGATAAGTAGAATTTGTCGCGGTATTTTGAACACTTAATGACAAAAGTTCTCTGATATGAATTTCGATTAATAAATCTTCTTTACCAAATCTTATTTTTTAAGTTCTCTACTTTTAGATAATTCTCGCAGGGTAACTATCTAATATTGTACTAATTTCGCAGAAACTAAGGGCTGACTTTCTGCTAATTACGCAGGGCAACTATCTACTAGTTTTGTAACAAGATAGTTTATTACTGCTGATTGTAGAAGATGCTGAAATTTATCTGCATGAACAATATTATCATTTTCATGTACTTTCTTAAAACTGGTACGAAATGGCTACCAATATGGTCTGTAATATTTCTATTAAATTTCCTTAACTCAATTCGGGACATAAAAAATTTTCTATTCTGCTGTTCTGCAAGATATTTACATTATCAGGAGGTGTTGTGTTACTTTACTGACATCTGTTTCTTTGCTTTTCCTATCTAAATTTACTTTCACCGTAAAATAATTATTTAAATATCGTTTACACTTCCTTTCTAATTTATGTTCCTCCTCTCTCTTGTAAGCTTCTTATATAAAATCCATTATTTACGTATCTAAGTAACGAAGTTCCGCAAACATTATCATTAAAGTTGCAAATTAGCTTTTGCTTCAAGAAAATCGTCTGTACCTTCTTTATTAATATCTACACCATCATTTTCAAGCCAAATAAAAAGTTCTTTCCACTTTCTGCGACTTAGACACCTTTCCCATTTTTCCCAATATCCTGTCATCGAAAGCCAAATATTGGAAAAGATTAAATACCCATGATTTCTACTAATTCAGCCGCATCTAAAAGTGAAAAGAAATAAAAACATAAGTCATTTACACAGAAATACATTTTCGTAGATTTTCGGTTTCAAATACCGCGCTCTAGAGAATAAACACTGTTGCCGATCTGCGATGGCTAAATACTTGTAAGAAAATAAATGTGACTTATCAGTAGCCAACAGTAACTCCTCCATTCAGCTTTCAGCAGTCTTTCTGACAGTTCATTTTAAGCAATGTTCACTGTTTCTTTACAATAGAGTCCCAATTAACCGATTTAACACAAAAACCTGATTGATATTGAACATTATTATTATTGTCATCACTATTACTTGTGCACTGCATGTTTCATTCGAAATACATTACCTGTATTACTATGAGGAGAACCAGAACTCTGATAATAGTATAATTGATTAATGCATCAAGACCTCATTGATTAATATAAAGTATCAGTACATTTTAACAAACCAGATTCATATGTCACTCACTCCCCCTTATGCGTATCACTCATAGGTTTATTAAATTCTGTCTGGTATAACATCCTAAAGTTTACTATTGGATATTTTGACAGTATTCTGCATGTTTCCTGAAATTACAAAAGAAAATTTGAAATTTCTTGTTGTGAAAAATTGCTTGTAAAATTTTAGTATTACTTAGTATGCAATAATAATAATAATAATATATAATAATAATAATAATAATAATAATAATAATAATAATAATAATAAATAATAATAATAATAATAATAATAATAATATAATAATAATATAATAATAATATATTAATAATATAATAATATAATAATAATAATAATAATAATAATAATAATAATAATAATTTCGAAATAGTATGGACATCGACCAACACAAAAGTGAAAAATTTATATTTTGACAAAGAGAACGACTACTGAAAATGTGAAATTAGACAACTGTGCTATAAATTTGTAATAGTTAAATTAAATTCTTTAATTAATAGTTAAATTAAATTCATTCAGTTAAATGCCCAAAAGATCTGATTTTTGCACCAAGTTTGAATTCTGGATCTGAAGAGGAAATTGTTTCTTCTGAGTCAAGTTTTCCCCAAAATTTTATAAAATAAATTTATCGTTATTCCATACAGGGAGTTAATGATTTTATAAAGTTAGAGTTTGAGTTGATTACTTTCTATTCCTCCACTGAGATAGAAAATTAAACTCCAAGAAAGTGCAAGCACCAACAATATTGGTAACATAATGAATGGAATTTATAAATTTAATCACTATCAGTGTCAACTGTAGTGGTAGACAATCTTTTTCAGAATCAAGATTAATTAATAATCGATTAATGCAATTAATAAAATGATTATATATAGCCCTGTACTATAAACTTCTCTGCATAAACCCAGGCAAAACTAAATTTCGAATTTCCATCGTATTAATAAAGTGTCTGTAAATATCAACTGATAATTATAGTTTTAAAATTTCATGTGTGTGTGTGTGTGATTATGGCAAAGCCTCGAGGGCTATCTGACTAAGAGGAGGGATGTCTTCGTGGAGGACTTTCTATGGGAAACTGTCTAGTATACACGTACACATGGGGGAAACCACGAAAACACCCATGCAGCCAGCCCGTTCGCGGGATTCGAACCTCGGACCGAACTACCAGTGTTCAGCGACTTTACCGCTCGGCCGCTGGTGGGCTTTAAAATTTCATGAAAAATTCACGTTAGACCTCAAAACTCGTGAATTTTAAATTATTATGTGAGTCTTGTATTATTTTGTATGGTATAAAATATTTCAAACTGTTAATGTGAGAATATAACGAATTATTGGATCCTAAATTTCTAACGCCTGATGAAAAATAACTGATTTTTAAAAAAACTTTTATTAAATCCAGCGTCCTTTATCAAAACTGAAGACACTTGTTTGTAATGAATACTGCTTTCTTGATCCGAAAAGAAACTTTATGAAATTTATAATATTTTTAAGTTATCCATTAATTTCACCAACAATTTTTTAGCTCTCATTAATCAGGAAACTAAATTATCATGTACAGTTTCTTTGAATTAATACTTCGAATTCGCATCGAAAGCTTCTTTAGGATTTCTAGTTGTAAATGAAGCGGCTTACAACAAAATGCTACGAGTACATCGAAGAGGTTCAAAGAGAATTGTTAAAGCAATAAAAATAAAAGCATATCTAGGCAGTTAGGTAAAAATAATCGGCGAACCAAACAGGATGTGAATATCGGCTTGCCTCATTTCAACTCGGAAACCTATGCAGCTGTTGACTCAATGTATTGTTAAAATATGGCTACTTTTAACATTGGGCAAAATTTCTCTGAGTATCGCTGTATCACGGAAGATGTACTTACTCATCTGCCACAATCAGTCAAATTCTCTAATTCTACTAAATCAGTAAAATACTTTTTCTGTTCCGAAATTTTAACAATTAAGAACAAAGAATGAGATGGAATCCTACTCCCAATTTAAAATGCTTACTTTAAGGTAAATTAAAAACAGCTGGTCGACGTAAAGATTTATTGAGTATATCTCTCTATAAAAAACTGCTCATTTAACAGCATCCGTATGAAGATATCATTGACACTACAGCCCGAAACTAAGTACAGGAAGAAAACTCGCGATTCTACGTCCCAGTGCCGCGAGCAAGAAGTGTACAGAGCCTCCTTCAACTGTGTGAAACATCCAAGGTCTCAAATCAGGGAAAGAACTCAAGCTGTCTACACACGGATAACAGAGCTTTGGTCTGGCGCACGCGAAGCTGTAGGTAGTGGTTGAAAGTGCGCATTGTGCCTGTGGAATAAATGCTTCCACTGTTTAGTTTTCAAAGGCAAAATTTGTTATCTCTTCCACCATAAAGTTTCAATAAGATGCTGCATGAGAGCTTATTTCATTATTTAGTTATTTTATGCGTTCGATAACAGTTTCAGCAGGGATTTGAAACAGCCCGTCGAAGTCTCCGTCTATATGCTGTCTGAGAAAGCATTGGAAATAAAAATACCGACAGACAGCTGGTGTTAAACTGCATAGTGAAATATTGAGTATCATGTGTGAAATGAATATAAGGCATAATTTCAACTTATTCCTAAATGCTCATTTGGAATATCTTTAAAAGTGTCATTTCGTCTGAGAGACTTCCATAACAGAGAGTAAAGTGTCAACACTCTGTTATTTGAGATTACATGTGGTATTCGAAACGGATGTTATGGGCGATCACTCACGTTCGAAATGTTATTGAAAGGTAAGTTTCGATTTCATAAGACAAATATTTTTATTTTTTAATTTAGTGGTAAAGAAAGCATTTGTCATGTATATCCGACCTAAACTCATATGATACTCTGCGACAACATTCTTCAAATTTTTCCTATCATATCAATCGAGTTAGCATAATTCATGAACTTGTTTTATATTTAAAACAGTGGTTGAATCAAAAATTATTTTACTTACAGCGATAAAGTTTTTAGGACTTATAAAATATAATGAAAATTATTAGAGATAATTTTTTTCATTCTTGGAGTACATAAAAGGATGAGCTTTTTAATTTTAGAATTTTTTGTTGTGAATTCTTTTTAAATAAATATATTTAAAGGTTTCCTTTATAAAACAGTATCGCTATAAATTTTCTAATTGGTATAGTTAAGTTTGTAAACATTCGTAGTATTTGTTTAAGTCAATAGTAACAATCATATTTGAAAAGAGTGTACTACAGAGTATAAGAAAATAGAAAACATTAGTTTTACTGTATGGATCAGGTTATATTAAATGTTTCCCGCGAAGTACTAACGCAAAGCCTTTGGCGTCTGTTGCCCAAGTTTTTATCAGTGAAGCACGTAACTCATTTCTTAGACAAAAACAAAAGGCAGATACAAGTAAAAACAACATATTTATAAAAGTTACTGGAATGTAGAATAGCTCAGTAAAATGAATTATTTGAATAACTCATTTTATTCGCATTTATAATACTTTTAAATAGCGCGGTGGGGAATTTCAACTTAAATTCGGAGTGTATAATTTTCCATTCTAAGAATAGTAAATCTCTTTTTAGTTGTATCGTCTTTTTTATTTATTTATCCTCTATTTATGGTAATAATTATTTAAATGAACATATGTATCGAAAAGTGTCTGAAGAAAAATCAGAATATCTAGGATTAGGACTTCTGTTTTTTCGATACTATCAAACCCAGTCTAAACTGAAAATCAGTTTTCTAATGTAATCTTCTACAGTAGCTTCTTTCCGTTTTATATATAACAAACATTTTTCCAACCAGACGTAAGTCGTGCACTAATTGCTTACATTTAGTTTGCACTAATTGCTCACATTTAGTGCACTAATTGCTTAGTAATTGCTTATTTAGTGCACTAATAATTTAGTGCAATTAATTATTTTTTCTAGAAAGAGAAGCCTGCATTTGGAATACACTCTAATTAATTATGACTAAACTTAAAAATGGCATAATATGAAACATTATTTTTTTAATAATTTGCTGATGTCAGTATTATGTGATTGTTCGTACTTATCAATTTATTTGCAATTAGCTAATTTTCTGGTTCAGTTATCTCACAAGACTCATCTCCATCAACAGGTTTTTGTTTCAATATTTCGAATAGCATAACCTGCTCAATGGATGTAATTAAGTGTTTGAAATCTAGCAGTATGAAAGAAACTCTCATTGCTAAAGCATTCTGTATCAGCAGTTCCAATTCCTGTGCATGCAACTAAGAAGTCACAGGGTTTCATGTCTTTTTCTAGGAATTGGATAAACAAAATAACATGTAAAAAATAAACGATTGCCTAAATAAATAATAACTGAACTAATATTCGCAAGTATATTTAATAGAGCAAAAAATAAATTCTTGGAGAATGAGAACAAAGTGAAAAGTACTTGAATAGGTGTCCGCTCGAAAGTACAGACACACTGAATAATTAGAAAACATTAATTTATTCGATAAAAATAGAAAACAATGCTAATCTCGTTGATCCAAACTGTTATTTAACGCGCATATAATGTTTAGGTAGAGACCAAACTTAGACATGTGTTTTAAGAGACGTGTTTCATAACTTAACAGCAACCCCGACAATCCTCGAGTTTGTATAAGATTGTTGCCGTTCAATTTTTATAATACTGAAGTAAAACATTACCACGCATGCCCCTGTCGTATTGCTACGTTATGTTTTTGAATTAAGTAATCCATATATTATTTTGAATTTTCGATATTAGAAATGTTACAAATTCATTATTAAACTGTTTTTAGCTCAGATGATAATTTTGTTTATATAAAGATGATAACATTGAACGATTTAATAACAATATGAGGTATAACGAAAAAATTCGGTGTTAAGTGATAAGAAGATAGAAACATAAAATAGAAATTTATACTGGCTCTAGAGCTCAACCGTATTCCATTGAAATAGCGGTGACCAAAAGACCCATAGAAACTGAGCCTAGCACAATATAATTGATGCTGTCTGCGTTAAAATTATAATCGGCATATTTATATTTATTCGTGTATTATTGCCGAAGTCAGTTTAATTATATAACCTATGGTTTAGGTTTTCTTCCTTTTTTTCTTTCTTTTCTTAATTTTATGGGTTAGTTTTTCTTTAGTTCCTTCTTTCTTTCATATATATATATGAAGTAATATATATCTATATCTCTCTCTCTATATATAAATTAATTATTCGTAATAAATTGCCTAATACTTGCGCTAAAGCTGCAAAGTAATAAAATAGTAATTTATTTTCTAGTATGTTATTTAATATCTTATCTCCTTTGAAAAAAGTAATTAGAATTCCATTGAAATGAATTTACTCATTAGCATATTTAAAATGGAATTATTAAAAAGGTATAATTAAACGTGAACATGCAACCAACAAACTAAATAGTTATCGTCATTGACCGGAAATCAGTTGACCTTTCAAGGGGAATAAACTAGCTTCTGATCAATTGATGATAATTAATAAATGCGAAGGTGCTTCGTCTTTATCTCAAGTAAGATCATGACAAAAAAGCTTTTTAGTAAGACTGAGTTTGTGCAATCAACAAACTAAGTAATTATCGTCAGTGACCGGAAATTAGTTGACTTTTCAACGGGAACAAGCTAACTTCTGATCAATTAACAATAATTAATAAATATCTTACTGAAAAGCTTTTTGTCATGATTATTACTTGAGAAAAAGACGAAAAACTTTTCGAAATTACTAGTTATTGTTAATTGATTAGAAGTTAGTTAATCGCTCTTGAAAAGTCAACTGATTTCCGGTCAGTGACGGTAATTACTTAGCTTGTTGTTTTCACTTTTAATTATACCTTTTTAATAATTCCATTTTAAATATACTAATGAGTAAATTCATGTCAATGGAATTCTAACTAGTTTTTTCAAAGGAGATAATGTTAAATAATCTACTAGAAAATAAATTATCTATATATATAAGTTAAGTCATTACTCACGCACAGCAAAGAAATTTCATTAAAACGATAATATGAGATATAAATGAAAACGCAACGCGTAAATAATATTTCGTTGGACTTTCAGTATTGGAGCTTAGAACATTTCCTTCTGTTGTAAAAGTTTAAATGAATATAAAGAGAGTGTTCTTAGGAAGACTTACTGCGACTCATCTGTTGCGATGTATCAGAAATTGGTCCTTTAATTATTGCAGTAAAGCACATCTGCATTAAGGGGACGGTGGACTTTAAAAATTAGTTTTTGTATTTTCAATAAGAAATTTTATAGACATACGTATTATAACATCAGTTTATAAAATATATGTTCAAAATTTTAATTTATTTTAAATTAAAAAATTTTAAACAAATAATTAATTATTTTAATTAAAGATTTAAAACGCTCCTTGCGCACTAATTTTCAATATTTTTTCCTTTAAGTTTGTTATAAAGACTTGACAAAAGTTTTTGTGTATCCGTTATTGAATATGATGGATCAGAAATTTTTTAAAAAGGATTTTTGTGAACTTAACCCAGTTTTCGGAAAAATATCTCCTTTTGTTAAACATTATCATAAGTTTAAACTTCTTAATAACCTCATATCCCAAAACGCATACCATATAACAAGATAAGTTTCTTCCAAATATCGTTCATTTTTAACTAAACTTGAGACGCATGGAGCATTTTCAAGACATACGAACTGCGAAAAATTTTGTTTTGAGAAAACCGAATTTAAAGTTTTTCTTCAAACTTACCTTTAATACAAGGTCATGAGAAACAGCAAATTAACTTTAAATATGAATATGTAGACACTAGATAACATTTTTCGTATCATTTAACTATTTTTAATCTCATAATATTACTACAAGAAAAATAAACATATCGCAAATTGGTTCGTGTTTCGAAGTTTGAGGTACAACGATTTATGCATTATATTTAATGAAACTTTTAAAATTCACTCGCATCATATGTTTCACCTTCATTTGTTACATTCACATTATCTTTTAATGCTTTACAATTGATTCAGAAGTCAAACAACACACAACAAACAACACTTTACAATTATTTTTTACTATTTCTGTTTTTTCCAAGCAGGTAAACTTCTCTTTTTGCTTTGGTACAAGCGACGTTGATCACGCTTTTTTGCAATGAGTAGAGAAAACGAAATTGTTTCTTCCTGTTCTAGGCGTATAACATTCACATAACTAAAGTTACATTCATGAATAGTTATCAATATTTTGACATTTTTAGCTTTCTTTCAGAAATAAACACTTCTTTTGGGCAAATATATAAATTATTACATGAGTAAATAACTGTTGAAATATAGTTTTTTAGGCTTTTCTCCAAAATTTAAAGGGCAAAGTTTACGTTTTTTACACATTTTAAATGCTTGTAACTTCTTTAAAAATTGGAATATTTTTACTCTGTTTTTTGCATACGATGTAGTTACGTATATGGAATATTATAATAGTAAAAAAACGAATTCAATATTTTGGTTGATTTTTAGCTATTTTAAAGTCCATCGTCCCCTTAAGCGCTGACATTTCTGCATTAAGCATCTTAGCAATCACTGTGACTCAGCTTAGACATCACTCTTCTTATCACATGTTCGGATGGTCACATGTATAGAAAAGTAAAAAAATATGATGTAATAATAGTTATCTTTCTCTAGCTGATTAAAATTTTCAGATATTTTCGATTCTTCTCAATTTTTTAATTATTTTTTCCATGATAGGCCTGACAAGTTTATGTTAGAGACAGGAATTCTTACTGGATCTTCCTTCAAAATTAACTCAAC